TTTTCGATATCGATTCGTAATTATACGCTCCTTTCGTATTAAAATAAAATCACTTTTTGGAGTGATGGAGTGAAGGGTTTTTGCAGTTTATAATTAGCGGGTAGATTTTGTGGCATCGACGATCTCTTAATACGTTAATTACCAGTATCAGTAGTATTAACCAATGAATAATCAGACGCGATTGAAAGGGTTGAAGCGATTTCCAGGAAACATTAGCAATATTTCAAGTTCAAGTTTTGCATTGAAACGAGCGACGATTGCATTTCCAACATGAAAATCAACTCTCCCTTTCTTCTGCCCGTTAATTAATGGTTTTTGCAGCAATAACCGCAAAAAGCATTAATGGTGTTTCCAAAGAGCTGAAGCTGGGAGTCTCGTCGCAAAAGCGGAAACGAACGGGGGTCCTCGACCGAGGGACGGTTCGTTACCCCCCGTTCGTGGGTATAAATCAAAGGCGTGGGAGGGCAGCGGCCAGATTTCAAATGCGCGAAACGCGAGCCCGCAATTTAATCCAATTATCCTCGCCGATTAGTCCTCTTGCGTATCGCGTGCTGCTTCTCCTTTCGGTGCTCGAGCCCACAGTCAGTCACCTAATTGGCCCGCTCGACTTACCGCTCTAATTGTTTGTCCCCGTGGCTTTGCGACTCGGTATTCGAGGCCCGACCATCGACAATCACGGCAATCACAAAGACGTGACGACCGTTCGAAACCTGTTCGCACCCGCTGCATCTCCGCGATTGTACTCGCGAAACCTTTGAACATAATTATCGACGAATCAAACGCGTTCCAACTTCTGACCCCATTCATCCGTAACGCTAATAAGTCATGGATCGTTTCGCGAAATCGGAAATCGTCTGTCGGATATTCATAGGAAAGTTTCGTATTTTGCACGATAAAAAGTTAAGTGATCCTTAATATAAATTTCGAAGTCTAAAAACAGTCTATATCAGTGAATATTGCTTAAAAGGGATCGTTAGCTGTCGGATGAATAGATTCGCAACTCTAGCTAAGGAGATTCAAAGCGAGACGTTAGGCAACCATTAAGGTAATTGAAAATCTTGAAGTCAGCGAATATCTTAAAGCGTCAAAGTATCAAATTATCAGTTTCCTTAGAGCAACAAAACGTTTGCCTCCGAGCGACGAATATCTACTCGTTTGAAGCTGAAATGCGATCCCTTTCCAATCTCGTGCTTTAATTTCCATTCTGGCTCTATATAGCCAGCGATAAAACACTTTCTTCTTCAATGAAAAATTGCAACAATTCTGATAAGATCCTCTCATAAATCTTTGATAAGATTGACTTGAACTTTGTTGTCCATACACGAGTGGTGCAAGTAGTATAGGTCAACGTAACACGACTTTCCATGATTAATTATTAATCAATTGTACTGTTAATCTGGTCTAGGTTACTCATTTACAGCCACTACGTTTCTGGAAATTAGTATGCTGTAATATTAACACATTGACTGGCGCAGTAGAAATGCTCATCATTAGTGCGACACAAGGATTAATTATTAATTTTGTAATCTAACGCATCAATTTGCTGTTTCATATTACCGGTGTAATTTTTGTAATATTAAAAGTCTCTTTTGCTCCGATGGTCGTACGTTTTGTGACATTTAATAATTATAAGAAAAGGGAGATTACAATTTGACAGTAGTCATTTTATTACATGGTAAATGGTACAAAGGGGTGCACCAAAGTTGCAGAATACCTTAAACTCGTAATTAATATTTCATTTGGCTACATTTGATATTTAAAAGTATTCATTACAAATTCAAAATTAAATACCATGCACTTTGAGTAATAATGAAACCTTTGATCGTTATTTTACAAAGTAATTAAATCCTCAGATGGGACTCGTAAAAAAATAAATTAAAGCGTTTAGCAACGAATTCTGAAACCTGTCATTAATTATTCATCAAGTGTAACATTAATCCGAGGTGCTATACAACTGGTCGCGAGAAGAGGAGTGGTAGATTCGACGAGGTAGGAGAAATTTGAAAATTTCGAGGAGAATGTTCTGTTAATTTACCGGCTGGTAGGAGCCAGCTGGTAAATCAGGTTCCAAGCTTGATTAACCATTCATCCGGTAAAGCGACTACTTTCGTCGCACCGACTACTTTTCTCCCGATATCGTCAAGTTACGTAATCAGGTAGAAAAAAGGAAGAAAGGGGGAAAAAAGGAAAAACAGAACTGTTCTGAGAGCGTACTAAACTGCAGCACTACGATCGTTCTGAATTCCTTGTTAGAACCGGCCGTGAATTTACGTCCCTAATTTTTCCCGGAGGAACGGCACACTCGTCGAAAAATGGACGTCGAACGATGCACAACTCGAGATGCTCCTCTTCTTTGTGCCCTGTTCTGTTGCCTATAACTCGAGGGCGTATTTTCAACGGAATCGTGCTGCTTTACTGTGCTTGCGTACGGCGCGGAGCACGTTACTCTCTCGAAAAACGGTTCAAGCGCACCCAACGATCGCGAGGAAACAAGCAGATAGCTACAACTATCTTGTCGACGAAAGATTTTTAATATGCTTCAATGTAAATATCTACAAAGGATCGTGCTGTTTCACCGGAGTATTGAATAGCAAACTCTTTTGTTAGACACTGTTGAATTTGTAACCCAGTTTGCAAGATACTTCGGAAAAAGAATTTCTTTATGCGATTACCCGTTGTTTCTCTTATCTCATTAAAAAAAAAAAAGATTTCTCTATAAAAATATCGTCGAACCGGAAACAATTAGATACGAGCGAAACAACAATGAACAAGCATCGGTTGAAGGAAAGAGAGGAGAAATCTTTTTGTTGCATCAGGAGCGAATGTTTCTCTAGGAAAACTCGATTGGTGAATCGATTGTCACCGGCGTCTCTTTGACGTCTCGAACGATAGAGCGTCGTTTCGGAGAAATTCTCGATCCTCGAGAAGACGTTTTTCGATGCGGCAAGCATCGAGAGGAAGCGGAGCTCGAAGTGGATGCGAGGAGAAGACGTTTCGAGGAGGCGATTGTCGCGAGAATAATGGCGACGGACGTCGACGAGGTCGGCCATGCAAAAGACATGCATCTCACAGGTTTGAAGCGCGGCTATCCCGACGGCTGAAAGCGGCGGCGCGTAATACTCTTCTGGAAAAGTAGTCCAAGTGAATAATGACTCGGCACAATGGAGTTTCGAGACCTCTCGGTGCTCGCAACTTACCCTCCGGGCCTGCATTCTTTCCTCCCTGTATTTACTTTTCTCTCGAGCGCATTAGCGCCCGGTGTGCGCGGGAGTTCTCTCGCGGTTTCGGTACGGGTTTCCTTTAAATTTTTCATCGTTTGCGGTCCGCGCTTTGACGGGGAATTATTCAACGCGTCCCGTCGCGGCACAGAGGCGCGCCGTATCGTTACCGTTTCACTGAAGGAATCGCGCAGGAAAGAAAATTCATGAGCGGTTTACAACGAACCGACGTCGAAAGGACGCGCGCGTACCGAAAAGAGGGCTCGATAAAACGGGACGATTCGCAACGCGTGTCCGTGGAAACTGGTTCAAGTGAATAATGACGGGAAACAATGCGACCAAGTCCCGTTTCGCTTTTGTAAAAAAGCACCACGCGTTCTTTGACGACGCGCCCACTTTCCTCGAGCCGTGCAATTGCTTTCACCTTTCGAAAGCAACCGCGAGAAACGCGTACTACCTACGTCGCATACGCGATATCGCGATATAAAGGTTTCTTAAGAAGGCGTTGCTTTTTAAAGTACGCTTCAACTTCCCACGGGCTTTTAGAACCTCGATGCCGTAAGATCTATTACGTGTGGAATTTTCTGAGAAAAATAGAGTAATTTCTTCTTACGTCGGCTTGACTTGATTTTAAAGGCTATTAAACTCAACAATTTCAAATAATGTTTATCTTCGAAAATGTAAAATATCGAAAGAAAAATCCATTTTTTTTTCCCATCAATTTTTTAATTCCAGAGGTAAAGTTCTCGAATCGATTCGAGTCGATATTCAATTTGATAGGTCTGTCGGAGTCGACCTCGGTGAACAAAGAATCCGATGGTAAGCGATAAATCATCGATGGCGCGTAGCGTCGTTGATCGAATTCTTATGAATCGTGCGATTCCTCGTCGAATTGCTGCAGATTACTCTGGCTCGATCGGATAGCAAGAATTTCCACGGGAACGGGCGCGGGATCCATCGAATCACGGGGCAATCGGGTCCGTCGAGTCAGTTGGATATTCGACCTCGTTCCCTTCCTCCGATGCTCTTTGCCATTTGTCTTCTCCGCCCGCGAAAGACTTCTCCTCGGGCATTCCCTTCCTTCTTCCTTTCCTATCTCTCTCCTTCTTCCTTTACTTTGCTTCTTCCAGCCAGCACACCCGGCACGAACAAAATCATAAAAGTTTTACTCTACAACTCTGGGACGCGAGGCCAAGCCCCCGTGTGCTCGGAAAGAAGCTTTTCGGTGTTAGTCGTTCCGTAACGTTCGCAGTCGTTTGTGTTCCCATCTTGTTCTCGTCTATACGTGCTCACCACCCCCATCGAACCACCCCTTTTAGACAGCCGTACGTGTTTCCCGGTGTGTAGACATCCGTGTACGTATGTGTACCCCCGAAAGGGGTTGCATAGGTGTGTATGTGAGAAAAGTGTGGCGGCTGGGCTCGAGTTTCGTCAGCCATTAACAGCAGCCGTTGGTCCTGAAAATCAGAAAACTTCCGAAACTGATTCTCCCCCTTTTCGAGCCAATTACTTTCTACCATTGCGGATTTATCGTACGCGGACCGATATTAATAGCCACTCCAATGCTGCTCGTTAAAATTGCACCTTCCTTTCTTACTTTTTTAACATGGGTTGTTTGAGAGAACTTAGAATTTTTTTTTTTTTTATTGCAATTGGATGCGAGTATTGTGAGAAAAATTCTGGAGATGAAAGTATACTCTAAGGGTGGAAAGGGGAATAAAAAATATATAGTGATGTTAAAATTCTTAGAAGTAATCCTGACGATTAAATCGTATGTTACAGAGCGTTTACAATCTGCTGGGAGAAACTCTATCGAGGCTGCAACAGTACGCGGAGGCAGAAAGGTGGTTCCAGGCAAGTTTGGCCAGCCAGCCTGACCACGTGCCGGCCCACATCACTTACGGGAAACTTTTGGCCCGAAACGTAAGTAGTTACCAGTTTTGGATCGCTTCTCTTTCATCAGAGAGCGGATCCAGTTTCCAAGTTTACCACGGCTCGACCGATATCGTTCAACGGAATTTCGCGATGCTCGAGATACCGGCGTGGCTATCGAGTCAAGATATCGGTCGAAGAAAAACAGAGAATCGGTAAACTTCTTGATCCTCCTTTCCTCGCGCCAGAGGATACTCCTCTCCGGAACAACCTTTGACACTGTTCTTTAAGTGGTCCTCGAATTGAGAACTATTTTATCTAAAAGGTAGCTGATTTTTCGAAAATAGTATTTCAAATGTTTGTACGATTGGAAAAGAGAAAAATCACGTGGATAGGTCGGGGTTAGGCGAACGAGACTTATCGTCTCGAATATGAAAGGACAAACGACGTTTCCTGATAACCCGGATTGCAGGTGATCGTTCCGCGAGTCTGACCACGTACCGACCCACATCACTTAGCGATCCTGCGACTCGGCACGTAAGTAGTTAGTACTATTTCGGCGGCGCGGTGCGCCGAACGATAGGCCGGTGAATCGGTTGACCCACATCACTTAAAGGGAAGCCAACCGCTGACGGGAAACAGCGCGCATTTAAGCTGATTCTGCTCGATCCACCGACCGTTCCGTGTTCCGGGAAAGCCAATCGTTGACCGGAAACCGGTATTTCTCGTGAAAACATATCTAACACAACGGACGATTACGCTCGCTGAACCGAGAAGAGATTCGAGACCCGTGGTGTTCTACCGTACGTGTCTCGTTCACCAAACGAGCTTCTGCCTTCTGTTTTCCTTTTGCAAATGTACCAATAGTTTGCGATCAATTAACGCTGTATTGCGAACGTGACGGGGCTATTAAATTAATGTTTGAAATTGCTTCCATTGTCTTTTCGTTGTTCGACGTTAATCAATTCATTTCCAAAGGTCGAAAATATATTATTTCGAAGATGAGAAATATTCACTTGTAACAGTGTAATTATCATTAACCACTTCCAATGACAATTATAGATTTCTAAAACAAAATTTCAGAAGTAATACCCTGTCAACGGTGGCGAATGTGTTAATCAACCATATTATTTAACGCGAGTGCAGCGCAAACATTGCCGTCAATTACATAATACACTTAATTGTATGAAATCATAATAACCGACGGAATTACTAATTTTCCATCGGTCCCACGGCGCGTTCAAGCAGTCCATTGTTGTAAAATGATTCTAAATTAATTATCCGTGAAACAAGCCCAGCCACTTTACATACGATAAATTTTAATTAATTCACCAACGTTAATAGTGTAACGTTTTTCATCGTAACCTGTGACAATGGTTATTGGCTATCGTAACAAAGCAACATGGATCTACGGCAAACAAACCGAACCGAAGGAAAATATAATAAACCAAAGGAGAGTGTTACAATGCGAAGAAAAAGTGGCCACCTGTACAAACGAAAACACGCTATCGTTCTTTATTTCGTTTCAAAGCTTCCTCTTTCTCTCTCTCTCTCTATTTTTAAATCACAGTTTCAAATGCGACGGAAAAACAACAGGGGGAAAAAACGTTAGTAAACGCAAACAAGCAACGTGGATCGAAAACAACAGCTCGGAAAATATCCTGCGAAATGTTAGCCTCCGATTTGTTACGGTCTGTTTTGTAAGAGTGCCATTTTTTGTCTTCGCTTCGGTAACGCTCGTTCCGCTGGACAGAAAGTCCTCGCGAATAGGCGTGTAAATTACGAGACGAGTCACCGGAAGGGTCAATGGAAAAGTCAGTATCGGTAAAACGATTCGCCGATAAACATTCGCCTCTGTAGACAATGAATTTTCATTGGCCCGCCTTTTCGAGGTCGCGGAGAACCGTACTCAAGTTCCAATTCCATCTTTTACAAGAATTGTCCTTCTGGTCGAATCTCAGCCGCGTTCAAACAAATTTGGTTATCGATCGCTTATGAAAATTTTGTATTTTATTTTTCAGTCGAGCCGTGTGCTGGAGGCTGAAAGATGGTTCCTCAGAGCCCGTAGATTAGCACCAGACGACTCGAGTGTGCATCATCATTACGGTAAGCATAATCATTAGCATTCTTGATTATAATTACGAGATAGTATAGCCGATATCAACGAGACGCATTAGTTCGAGCGTGCTACTCGTCGTTGTCGAGTAAATTGGAGTGGCCTCCAACAGGTTCCTTCTTTGACCCGTGGTAGCGAGCGGGTAATTGATTCCTCGGAAAGTTTGCGCGCCACGAGAACATTACGAATTCCCCTGGTGTCGAAACAAAAGAAAACAAAACCCTCGTAAAGAGGACGAGAGTGAAACGAACCACGCTGGATAACCGAGATTTTTCGAGATTACTTTAATAAGGAAGATAACAGGATCGTAGATTCTTTAACTTGTTATAAACACCTGTATAATATTCTCCTGAGGGATGAAAGCAGACTTTGAAGAGCAGGAACACTATAATCGAGGAGGATAAAATTTAAAGATGTCCTGTATGTCTTTTTCTTTTTTTTTTTAATTGAATTTCTTTTGGATATTGACAACATTTTCAAACTTTTTACCACCCTTTGAAAATCCCGAGCGTACACAAGATTAATCTACTGGTCGAAAGGAGTCACAGTGGAGCGGTATTTTTAGGTGGTAAAAAAAGCACGCGCTTTATCTCTCTTAGTGGCACACGTCATTAGGCAGTGGTCCGCGAAACCTGGCGTGATATATCGCGTGGAAATTTACGGCCGTCCTAGGATGAAGTGGTGGCAAAATATCGGAGACGTTTCTCGGCCACGCCTTCTGACGGAGTTTAAAGAAAATCTGAAAAGCGTCGAGGGACGGTCAGCTCGGGGAATGTACGGTGAATTTTTCTTTGATTTTCAGGACTGTTCCTGACGTCGCAGGGTCGACTGTCGGAAGCAGCGGAAGAGCAGCTTCGCGCGGCGGAACTTTCCAGATCCGATTACGAGCTGTCGATGGCGGCAGCGTCCGCGCTGCGCCAAGCGGACCGCCTCGATGAGGCCGAGGTGTGGTACAGACACGCGGCCAGGCTGAGGCCTCACGAGGCACGAAGTCACACGAATCTCGGCGCGATTCTTCACTTGAACGGGAAATACAAGCAAGCCGCGGCGGCGTACAGCGAAGCGTTGAGGTTGCAACCCGGTGACGCAACGACGATCATGAACCTGCACAAATTGGCGGCCATTTTGGCGTGACCTCGTGACACGATGACGTGGTCGAGAGACAGCAACGAGAGTGACGAGTGTGTGTATAATAAGAGCCAAGGAAAGACCCTCTACCGACTCGCCGTAATCCCTGACCCCATCACGTCTCCCCGATCTTCCTCCCGATATTCGTTTATATCCGTCGACCGGCGCGACAATGTCATGGGACAGATGTATCCTGGCACCTTGACGCGCCGTCGACTCGTATCGCCTGCTATGGTATGTAAAGAATAAAGCTTCCTTTATTTTTCTCTAACGAATCGTCTAACTTTTTCTTCTTTTATAGAGCAACACACCTCTCCTGTCCTTTGCTTCCTGTTACCACCTTCATTGCCATGGACAGTCATCGATGTTTGGTAACTGGATGTCACAAATGTGTAATATTCTCAGATATTAAAAGAGGCAAAGTGGAGTTTGATAGTAGGAACGATTAAGGCTCGAGGTGAAATGTCAAAAGGTTCCGATTGAATGGAAAGTCGCTGAGGGATCGAGGCGGGGACACGGGAAACGAAGGTAAGTAATATAATCGTGAAAAGTTGAACAAACAGCGGAAAGGGTCCGTCGAGCAATCACGATAGAAGAGCTTTTAAATTCGCGAGGAATGGCTTCTTGAACTTTCCTCAAGGTAGCCATGAATCACCTGCGAACGGTCAACTCTCCACCTCTGTTCTGTTCGAAAGAAAAACGCCGAGGGCGCTCGAGCCGTTTGACCCTGATTTCTCGGTTAAGCTGGAACAGCGTCGTGTTACGGGGCGTTTCGCGCGAATTTTCTCACACCAGGGCAAAGTCGGTGAAGCTCCATTAATATCGAATCTATTTGCACGACGGCACCGACTGGAATATTTAAGTTTACACTTTAAATCACACCCCCGAGCGAGTGGCTGTTACGCGGTAGCTCGACAAGGATAAAGAAGAACACAGAAGAAAAAGACGGATGAAGGTAATACCGCGAGAAAGAGAGATAACGGAAGCCGAACGAGAGACGGAGAACGGTAGAGAGAAACGAGGAGGAAGAGAGAAAATAGGAAAAGGTAAGAGAGAACGAACCCACCTGTCGCTCCCGTTGGGGTGACAGTCTCACGACAAACACTCGACAGGTGCCGCACCGGTTACCTACCTTTATTCCCCGCGAAGAACTCGCTTCGTTATCTTTAAAGCGGAACTCGTCGACTCGTCAGGGACGAAGGAGTGCTTCGTTTAGTTGTTTCGGTCCGAACCAGGTCGCGTGCCATTTCGTTTCCACCTTTTACAAACTCTCCGCAACTTTTACTCTACCTTTTTCCACCATTCTTCGGTCTACTGCATTCTTCCCGAACTGTGATCCCTCGTTAACCCTTATTTGAATCACGACAGTTCCAATCTTTAATACGAATCTTTAATACGCGTTAATAGAATTATTTGAAAAATTCTCGAAACTCTTAACAATTCTGCTCCCAAATCAGCCCTTGTCTGGTTAGCGGTTTGTTGCTTTCGATTATTGTAAGTGGCTTCGAAAGTCGGACAAAAGAAACGACAATCGTCGAAGAGAGTTACTTTCCTTTCGAAATAAAAGACTTCTCCACCCTGTCTCGCTTGCCAGCATCCGTTTCTTGCTGGTCGCTCGAGTCACGATACTCCCTTAGCTAACCCCTCGGCATGCTTCTTCTCTAAATGTCATTGATTTTTAGCGGCGAACCCGTCGGTAAGACAATTTAGGATGGAACGTCTCGTGCTCCCTCGCCCTTTTTATTCCCACAACCTTCTACTTGTCCTCGCTTCTTGCTATCGTGCAACCTTTTTCCATCCCCTTGTCGTGCCACGTCGTTGTTTCTTCCCTCGACACGCCTTCGCCAGCTAGACCGACGTATACCCACTTTGCTTACAGATTAAACGTATCCTCCTTTCCTTTCTTCTTCTCTTATTTCGCCCTACTTCACCGTTCAGCCACGTTAATTCTTATAATTACTCACAGTCAAGACCGCTTTAACGTCGACTGATTTTCTAAGTATGAAGCAGTGGAATTGTAGCTGTCCGCTCTTGATCGATATGCTTCTGTTTCTGTAACTACATCTCGTAGGATATTATCTTATACAGGGGAGTGGTAGTACGATTACTTGGACTCGAGTTCAAGGGCTGTTTGTATCCTATCTTGATGGAATATTACATATTCCTGGCAAGTAATAGGACCGCACTTCTGTCGCACTGTAATTCCGACTGCCGAAGGACCTTTGGTCGACAGTGAAACATTCTCTTCGCTCTGTTCTTAGTCCGATTACTAGCTTTCCAATGGCAATAGTGATTTCCTATGGCTTTATCTTGGAAATCTTCTAACATTCTTCTCCATACTTTGCTTAATTTCACTACCCCCTCGCAATTTTAATTTCTCCCCGATTGCCTTCAATATTCTAACATTTCATTTAAAAATTTTCAACTAAAAATTAAAATAGTAGAAATTTGTCGAACGCATACCGAAAGAGGTATCCTCGTGCACGATTATTCCAACGTCCAACATCCCTCTCTATTTTTCACAAGGTTCGACGTACGCCGTTTGTCTAGTCGGCGTTCCCTTATTGACATTCCTGCCTGCACGCTTTTCCGCTTCGTCTTACGTTCCACGGAGAGTAGCGCAATAAGAGATAGGCCAGCGAGACAGGCGAACATTTATTATGCCGTAGGAGTCCCCGAAGAGCCGGTCGACCTCTCTCGATACAAAAGCACCGCGAAACAGAAGGGCCGTGGCTCTATGTGAAGAAGCCGGTGAAAAGGCTGGAGGAGATGCGGCGTGGTTAATGGCGTCGTTCTACGCTTCGCTCGTTCAAAACGGGCTTGAAAGCCGGGATACAGATAGCAGATGGTCGCTGTTTTGCGATACGGTCTACGGGGTTTAACACGCGAACGACCGGGATACGCGGTTACCGTCTACAATCGGGATTGTTGTATCTTCGTAAAATCAGGATTATTAGTGACAAAGATGTTCTGAAAGCAACCGTTTCTATTATATCCGCAGGAAGCTGAAAATACTCGTTGCCTTCTTCATCTTTTTTTTTAATACTCTCATTTTTACACGCCCTTTATCGACAAACGGATTCAGAGGTAAGAAGAAACGATTTAAAGCTTCCTTTCTGTGAACAATCGAACAAAGTCGTTATTGAAGCTAATTTCCTCAAGAAAAATCACTGAACATTAATCCGTGACTCGGAATCAACCGGAATAAGAAGAATCAAGCTGAAAGTTCGTTCGATCGTGAAAATTCGAATCGCCGTGCAATCTTCACCGACGCGATAGTATTTCTTTCGAAACGAAGAGGAAAGTTCGCCGGGTTCAGGGAGCAAGAGTTTTAAATCCGTCTTGGTAGAAAGTCGACGAACGAGATAAACGATTCGAGAAGAGACGTCGTGTTAGCCGTGAAAGTAAAGGTTTTGTGTTTCTTAGCGCGGCCATTCCCTTTTCCCGGCTGAAAAATCTTCTTTAATTATCCCAGAAGCCAGTCAGGATTAAAGCGAAACGCAAACAACGTCTCGACTGATCCTATTGCTCGATCGATAAGTAATTAAGAGGGATTGTTTAGGGTTTAATGAAATTAGTAAGATAGATCGTAGGAGGAAGAAAAAGGGATATGAATAAAAAGTGCAAAGTTCTTTTGACGTCTATCAGGTAGGCGTGCACAATGAGAGGTAGCAGGTGCGGTAGCGATGAAATATTCCGTAGGGTCCTGTCATTCCGAGCAGTAAGGTCAAGTAGCGTTTCCCGCTGTCTATCCCGTACGCTTTCTTTCGGACCTATCCTGATTTATACTTTAACTCGGGTTGAGACACTGAAAAACGGCCGTTACAAAATTCACCAGTCGACGACCACTCGGTGAACGAGAATGAACCAACTGGTACATAATTTATCTTCGAAACGAACGTGCGACTGTTGTACCGGTAAGAAACCGTAATATGTTACAATTTATTTGTATCGTAAGGTCGAATCAAAGATTCCGTCCGAAAGGAAGGGAAGGGCAGCACGCGTGATATAAAAGGGAGTGCCTCTTTTTCCGGTTCCTAGATTTCAAAGATTGGAACCACCCCTAAGCTGACGCAGGAGTTTCTACCTTGAAGGGATCGTGGTACTCTAAAATCCCCGAAAATAGGCTTTCCTAAGAATGAAGATAAATCGGTGGGGTAATTCTTTACGTTTGAACACCTGCTGCTCGAATTATCTTTTCCACTTTTCTCGCATCGTATTGTAAACGGTGCTCAACAGTTTTAGCGCGGGGATATAATAGTAAAAAGATTTTCCCTCGATTCCGACGATTTCTCGACGAAATAGCGAGCGGAGGATTTTACGCGCGAACCGATCCTGCTTCGAAATAGAATTTTCGTTTTATTCGTCGTAATCTCGGGACGAAAATTCCGCGCGACGATCGCACGGCTACCTGTACGATACACGCGGCTTATCGACGATCACGCCGAATCGATCTTCGTCGGCACAGAAGCGGCGTCCGCGCGTTTTATTGCGCGTAACGTGGCCACTAAAAACCGCGTGTCATAAAAGGGTAACAGGCAGATAAAAACCGAGCGCGAAAAATCGTCGCTGGTACGTGCGTCGATCCATCAGCGCCCGTTCTCCTCTTCCCTCCAACCGTTTCCATCAGCTTGCACTCGCTGCAACTCGTTTCCGCCTCGGAAAACGCGACTAGAATGTCGATCAACCGTGTCCGAACGTACGTTTCTGTTCTTGCCGTTGTTACGCGACGAACGTTTCCTCTAAGCCCTATGTTAGCTTCCACTAACTCGATCCTTCGTCGTTAACAACCCGCACGATTAAGCGTGCGTCAGCGCTATACCTGCGATGAAAACGTTCCGCGAGAACGAATTTCACCCGCTGATTAATGAACACGGCTTATCGTCGCGGTGGAGAGACGTTTTGAAAAAGTAAAGTGCGATGATTTTTCTGTTCGAGGTATTTACCGGATATCCAATTTTCCTGGCTACTCGAATAACCGAGGATCCTCGATTCGAATCGACAGACCTAATATAAAGTATCCACCAGGCACGATTCCAACCGTGTAATCTGAAGAATTATTTATTCGATTACTTTCGTCGAATCGCCGCGAGGATACGTTTCCTGGCCTTTCGAGCACTGATTAAATCACGACGAGTGTACCCTTTAATACGAGGGCGTATGCACATTTAAGAGGATCATTCGCTTTCAAAGCACACTCGGAAAACTCTATAAACTGAAAAACCGTATTAAAGAGATTAAATAGAGCAATTTGCGTAGCGAAATGAAACGAAACGATGGTAAATCAACTGTTATACATGAAAATTGTGTATAAAACATTTCCGAGTGTGCATTCACCCCTGAAAGTCGAGGCTCGAACTTTCCTCGTCCCTTTTGGTGTCTCGACGAAAAGCCGTTCGAAACAGACAATAACGGTCGGACAGCTTTCCATGGCGATGCTGTTCCGCGCAATTAACGCGTGGAAATCTCATCCCGCGTACGTGGATACGCGCGCGTTCAACGTAGCCGTCGCAAGCGTATTGAAAGCTCGTCGAGGCGTGTCGCGGAGGCGCGTTATTAACGACGACGATTAACGAGACGCCAGGCTTGCAGCTTTGTTCCCTTAAACGTTAATCGAGTAGTCGCGGAGCGGCGGACACGGCACAAACGAAAATACCCTGTGTGTATTCCGCTTGGACGTAACGTCGGCCCGGAAGTGGCTTCCTATGCTGCACGTCCGGCTAAAATATTCCCGGCTAAACTAACATCCTTGCTGTTGGAGCACCCTTCGGTGCTTTCCTTCGTTCCTGACTGTGCACACACGCTTGAAAATTAACACGAAACGCTTGATACTGTAAATACTACGAGAGAACATTGTTTTCTGATTTAAACCGGATGTTTGACGTTTTTAACGAGATGAAAAATCTCGTAAGATTTTTAAACTATTTATCTTCTCCGACGCGTGTTCCGATCTCTGTTGTTTTAATAGCGAGTATATTAAATCCAGCAGATAAATCCCTGCGTATTTTCCATCGCGGCAAACTTCAAAAGATTAACCCGGTGAGGTTGAATCGCGCCGAGCAAGGGAGCGAGATTGATGCTTGCTTTTGAATTCATGCCGGACGCGAGGGAAAATTTCGTCCCAAGCAACGAGGAGCTTGGATTTTAAACGCGTTCCATATAAAAAGAAGACTCACCCCGCAGTTCCTTTTTACACTGTACCGCACGTGTGATGATGGTTGATTTTCAAAAAAAGCCCGTTCACAGGCAGACGTGTGACAGGAAAGTTGAGGAAATTGACCCCCTGAACCGCGGAAAAGAGACTTCGACTCGCACTTCTCGTTATTCCAGAAACTTGACTAACTTTCGAGACCTTTTTTATCGCGAAAAATTTGTCCCCTTTCGTCGTTGAAAGGTTGAACGATTCGATCGTAGCACCTGCTTTCATTATTTCAATAAAACGACGAACTTTTCTACTTTGAAATTTGGTAATTGAAGGCACGCTAATTAACACTGTGTACGCTAAAAATGTAGTATTTCGAAATTTCGAAGTTGAAATAAAATGGCAAATATTATCGTGATGCACAGAAGACAACGAGTTTACCGCGACCCGATTGCCGTCAGTAAATTGTCTGAACACGCGAAATCATTTAACGACTATAAATGCCTGGTTATTATCCAGCCCGAGGAAAATGGTTAAAGCAAAGGATTTAATAAAAGCAAAGTGGCTGGATAAGGATAGCGAATCGAAAAGCAAGGCCGCTTCAAAAGCGAGATTGCGCTAAACAAGATTCAATTGTGCGCCTGACGGAATAAAGGCGGAATAATTTACTTTGCGCATCCGGAAGCGAATCAAACAGCTGACAGGGATGTCTATCGCGTGCGGCTGCAACGATTAAGTTAAAAAAGCGATGGGGGGAAAAC